CAATGACCTCACCCCTGGTGCGCAAGGGGAGGACCGTGGTGTAACGCGTGTAGTCGTCGACGACCAGTCGGAAGTACCACTTGTGGCCCTGTCCACGGACGCGGGCTGGGCCAGACACGTCCAGGTGGAGAGTCTGCAGGGGAGCCTCTGTGGGAGGGAACGAGGAGGAGTGAGGAGCGGCGCGATGCCGCCCCTCGACACAGGGAAGACAGGGAGGATCAGGCGAGGGCGGGAGGGGAGTGAGAACCCTGGGAAAACCAGAGACAAGGAGACGGCGGTGCATGCTGCGAAGGTGCTGCACCGAGGGGTGACCAAGGCGGTGGTGCCAAAGGAGGGGCTGATGCGACAAGGCGTGACACGAGCAGGGGGCCGACAACTGAGCTGAAGCAGACGTAAACGCAGCTACCTAAGGGGACTCAGTAGTCAGGATGTACAGGCTCGAGCCAGGCTCATGGGTAAACGTGGCCAGTTGTCGGCCCGTCCGAGCACACGTACAGTGAGTCACTCGCTGACTCGCAGGAGTGAACTGGTCAACCCCCCCATCCTAGAGGCCAGCTCCACTTACCAGGTTCGTAGAGAACGAGGGGAGGTAGAGACCTGACAGCAAGCAAGACGGTACTCAGTGCGAATGACGTACGCGCAACGAACGGTACTCAGAGACCCTCTACTCTGAGCGTACCACTCACGAAGCTGCTGGGGCGTGCGAGACTCGCGTGGACGTCGCTGGAGCTGCATCTGGCCACCGCCAGTAGCAGCAGTAGTAGTAGTAGCAGCAGTAGCAGCAGTAACAGTAGTAGCAGCGAGGCCACCCCTACAATCACAACTAGCGTACCACTCACTAAGCTGCTGGGGCGTGAGGAACTCACGCGGACGTCGCTGGAGCTGCATCTGGCCACTGTCAGTAGCAGCAGTAGCAGTAGCAGTAGCAATAGCAGTAGTGGCAGCGCGTGCGGGGCAGGCGCGGCAGGCAGGTAGGCAGGCAGGCCGGCAGGCAGGCAGGCAGGAGGCAGGCAGGCAGGCAGGCGGCAACGCACGAACAAGGTAGGTGCTCACCAGTGGCAGGCAGGGCCGGCGCTCGGCGGGGCCGCAACAGCGGCCGCAGAGGAGGGCCGCGTCGGCGGTAGGGCAGGTCCACGTCAGTTGCTGCAGGGCGGGGCCGTAATAGCTGCACGGGCGGGGCCGCAACGGTGGCAGAAGGCTCCGCGGCAGCTGCTGCAGGGCGGGGCCGCGACCGCGGCAGGAGGCTGCGCGGCAGCTGCTGCAGGGCAAGGCTGCGACGGCGGCAGGAGGCTCCGTGGCAGCTGCTGCAGGGCAGGGCCGCGTCTGTAGTAGGGCGCTCCATGGCAGCTGCATGCAGGAGCGACGGTGGCAGTCAGGTAGGGGCGGCGTCCAGGGGCAGCCGCGAGGAACAGGGGCAGCCGCGGTGTGCGAGGCTGCAGCGCGCTGCAGGCGCGGCGCGCGGGGCTGCAGCGCGACGCGCTAAACCCTAAATGCGGCGCGCGGGGCTGCAGCGCGACGCGCGGGCAGCAAACGCGACGCGTGGAGCTGCAGTGCGACGCGCGGGCAGCGGGCTTGACGCGTAGGGCTGCAGCGCGACGCGCGGGCAGCGAACGCGACGCGCGGGGCTGCAGTGCGACGCGTGGGCAGCGGGCGCGACGCGCGGGCAGCGAACGCGACGCGCGGGGCTGCAGCGCGACGCGCGGGCAGCGGGCGCGTCGCGCGGGGCGGCGACCTGGCCTGATGGGTCTGCAGTGGCGGCTCGCTGGCCTGTAGGGGCGGCTAGCGGGCCTGACGGGCCTGCAGGGGCGGCTGGCGGGCCTAACCGGCTTGCACGGTCGTCGCTCTGGCCTGACGGGCCTGCAGGGGCGGCTCGCGGGCCTGACGGGCCTGCACGGACGGCTAGCGGGCCTGACGGGCTTGCAAGGGCGGCGCACGGGCCTGACGAGTTTGCAGGGGCGGCGCACGGGTCTTACGGGCCTGCAGGGACGACGTGCTGGCCTAGGGCAGTAGTAGGCAGCGCGAGGGCTGCAGGACGGCGCTCGCAGCGCAGCACGTCACAAGGCGAGGCAGGCAGGCAGGTAGGCGCAGGACAACACGTGGGGTAGCGTGGTAACCGCAACGGTAGGTGGGCCCGAAAAAAAATACGGTCCTACGGACCTAGTGCTCTGAAACCATGTCAGAATCTAGCAGCAGGAATGAATCAACTATGGAAGAGTTGGGCACAAATATCAAACCCTAGAAGGGGTTGTACCCCATATTGGCTACCCCACTACAGCCTAAACATATATAGCATACATATAGCAGTACGCCACCGCCTGCGCGCGTCTGCAGCCCACGCGCAGCGGCGGCCCGTACGCGACGACAGCCCACGCGCAGGCCCACCGTCGCGCCGCCCTGCCCGTCCGAGCCGCCCCGCGCCGCCCTGCTCGAGCCGCGCCGCGCTGCCCTGCCCGAACCGAGCCGTGCCGCCCTGTCCGAGCCGCGCTGCCCTCCTGCTACTTCTGTTCCTACTGCTACTGCTGTTCCTGCTATTCTCACTACTACTGCTGCCACTATGGCTACTCCCACGGTTCTCTCTTTCGATGCTGAGGGCCGTCCGCTCCAGTTTGATGCTTGGCTTGACGATCTGCACCTGTTCCTCCAGATCACCGCTAAGGACAATGTCTCGCTGTATGACCACGCGTCCGGAACCGCTCTAGCACCTGCTGACAGTACAGTTCGCTCCTAGTGGCCGACTTGTGACGCCCACGCTCGCCTAGCCATTCGCAGTCACCCGCCATTAGATGAGCGCACACACTTTGGCCAGCACAAGACCGCTAAGGCACCGTACGATGCGGTAGTCGCCCGCTACTCCTCGCCTGCCTCTGCTACGATAGGACGTCTCTCGCTGCCCTATCTTTTCTTTGATCTCGTCGCCTTTCCCACAGTCGCTTACCTCCTTACACATCTCCGCACTAGTGACACTCGTTACCGCGCCGCCCTTCCTGCTGAGTTCCTCGCCAAGAACCCTCCCCCCCCCGCCCGATGTATCCTCATTCTCTACCACCTAGTCACCCGTCTCCCTGTCTCTCTTTCGCGCAGTCAAGGACACCATCCTCGCCCTCTGCCCCACCGAGCTCACCATTGACCTGCTTGAGAAGCATCTGCATGCAGCTGAGGCTAGCATAGTTGCTGTAGGTGCCTCTCGTGGCGACCCCCGCACGCCCTTCTTTGACGGGTGTTCAACTCCCCCCCTTCCCCCCTCGGTCGCCTCTCCTGCCGCTGTCGACTTCCTTGGTGCTGAGGAAGTCGGGGCTGCGTCTGCTCCTAGCTGGAGACGCAAGGGCGGCAAGGGCAATGGGGGCAAGGGTGGTGGTGGTGTAAGCGGGGGAGGTGGAGGTGGAGGTGGAGGCGGTGGGGGCGGTGGGGGTGGTGGCGGTGGCGGGGGTGGTGGCGGGGCTGGGGGGGTCAGTGGCAGCGGCGGGGGTGGTGGCGGCAGTGGTGGTGGAGGAGGCCGGGATGGAGGTGGTGGTGGTGGCAGCAGTGGGCGTGGTGGCGGTGGCTCGGGTGGTGGTCGGGGTGGACCAGCGCAGCATGGAGGTTCAGGTGGTGTCCAGCGCCAGCAGCAGCGTCTCGGAGAGACCCCTAGTTGAGTGATGCTACCATTCGCATTCACGTCTGTCTGCCTCCCATCATATGTTCGTGCCTTGCATGCGTGTTGTGAGTGTGTGCAAGAATTTGTGTTTTGTGCGGTTTGATTTTTCTGAGTGTGTGTGTGAATGTTATTTGGCTCGAGCAGATATCTGAAGTGACTCCTCTACTCAAGAGCTTACCGAAGGAACCAAGTATCGCTTCAATCGGAGCACGAACAAGAAATTTACAAACGTTGGAGTTCGTATGCTTTTGATATTTGGTTGTGGTGACTATGGGAAGTTGTGGGGTTGACTCAATATGGGGTACAGAATTTTGGGGGTTGGGAAATTCGTCTTTTCTACTGTAGTTGCTGCCAAATGGTTGGGAGAAACCAAACCAGGTTAGCAAGTGTGGCCAAGTTGGGTTGAGGTGGATTGTGGAGGTTGGGATAGTGACAAAGGTCAAAGTTGGGTTGCCTATGGGGAAGGGAATTGTATGGCATTGGGTTTCCTTGGTTGGGGACTCTCTTCAGACCTTCCCTCTCGTCCTCCTCATCCCTTCCACCTGGTTTAGTGCTACTCCAATTCTCTTGTGTGAACTTTGTGATTGAGTTAAGATTCTATGGCAGCATACCCCCTAGTGCGCTGAAATCGATAACTCAAGACACACTGCACATTTCCGTACGATTCAACTTGGGAATTGTAGCCACGAAGTAGAGCTACAAAATATCTGAGTTTGGTGAAGTTTTAACCATGGAATTTCTGTCGACGGCGTTTCTTGTGAACTCGACTTTTCTGTTCAGAAACTAGGCCCAACGATGTTGAGATATTTTGGCTCCTAATCTTCATAGACTCCGTCCTTAGTCTCTAACAAGTGGTATCAAAGCTGATTTAGGACTTTGTGGAGAGTCTAATGAAGTGTGAAGACCCTCCTAGATCCATCATGGCCTGTGGGCGTGCCTAAGTGGAGTTCTGGAGGTTGGATGTGACTTCCGCTAAGGGGAAACTCTACCGAAATTTCGTTGGCGCCGACACTCGTGAAGATTGTGTGGATCTACATTGTGACCAGCAAAAGGGGGAGCTGAAACCTCTGATTGGGAGCAGAGGAGATGAATCAAGGGAGTGGAGATGCAGCTGAGAAGAGGAGTGAACCGCCATCATCCAAGATCGAAGCTTTGGATGGCTCCAACTATGAGGAATGGAGCGGGCGGATGCGGAGCGCCTTCAAGCGCTACAAGCTACTGAAATTTGCAATGGGAGAGGAGAAGATGCCGGGGGAAGGAGATGCCCGCGATCGGTGGATTGAGAAGAGCGCGGTGCTGTACGACCTCATCCTCCAATCGGTCAACAACGACATGTTCCAGCACATCAAGGATTTGGTGGAGTTGGATGATTCCGGACCGAAGGCATGGAAGCTGCTACGCGAACGTGATTCAGCCCAACACGCTGCCGATGGTGATTGTGTTGGAGAAGGAGTTGGCTGCCCTCTCCATGAAACCGGGAGATGATGTGAAACCGGTCCTTGACAAGATCAAGGACACCTATGCAAGGATGGCAGTGCCGGGCAGCGAAGTGTCGCAGATGCAACAGTGCACCAAGATCATCTCGGTGCTCGACAACTCGTGAGACAACCTCATCCCCACCCTCAACGTTCAGCAGGACAAATGGACGCCTCAGTGGCTACGGCAGCAGATTCTGCAAGAGGACTTCCGCAGGTGCCACACGGGAGGTGGTGCTACCAACAAAACTGCTGAGGGGTATGGAGCTGCAGGAGGCAGCAGAGGAAGAGGGGGAGGGAGAGGCCGAGGCCGTGGGAGAGGCTTTGGCAGAGGGAGAGGCCGAGGTGACTACAATGAGGGGCATGGGAGCTCTGGTGGCAGGGGGAGCACCCGAATAGAGGGTGCGTGCTGGTACTGCAAGAAGGCTGGACACCCGTGGTTCAAGTGTTTCAGCCGGCCTGAGGGGTGGGCCCCTCCAGGCATGAAGCCGCCAAGTGGTGAACGTGCACGCGGTGGCGCTGTGCAAGGATCAGGTGCACAAGGTGTTTGTGCACAAGGTAAAGCCGACCCTGGGATGTTCCTCATGGTTGAGGATGTGCAAGGGAGTGGGGGTGATGTGGGTTCAGTTGGGAAGGTTGTGATGCACCCCCTCACTCACTGGGTGATTGATTCAGGTTGCACGAGTCATATGACCCCACGGGCAGATTTGCTTGATGAGGTAAAACCTCCTGGGAAGATCAAGTTTGTGGCTGCCGCTTCAGGTGCTTTGCTCCCTGTAATTGGTGTTGGGAATGCTAAGGTGATGGGAGCCAATGGAGAGCTTGTGGGGCTTGGGAATGTGCTGTTGGTTGAAGGTTTGTCCGCTAACCTTCTTTCTGTGCGCCGGCTGCAGAAGAGCAAGGCTGAAGTTACCTTCGGCCCAACCAGCTGCCGTGCAAAGCTTGGGAAGTTGCTGCTGTGGAACTTGGAGGAGAAGAGCAGCTGCATCAAGGACCTGTGGCAGCTGCCCATCATCCCTTGGAAGGGGAAACCACCAGCAACGGCAAAGAAAGCGGCAGCGGCTAAAGCAACTGCGGGAGGAGAGGAGACTGCACCAACTGATGGGGCCCTGGATGCAGTCAAGAAGGTGCAGCAGCCACAGCAGCCACATGGTGAGGTGCTTGCTGGTGTGGATGCGACAGCTGCATGGGCAAAGGCTTCATCTGGGAGTGGTGAGGCTGATTGGGAGACGTGGCATGAGAGGCTGTGCCATGTGAACATTCCTATGCTGCAGAAGCTGGTAAAGGATGGGTGCTTGAAGGGGCTGGAGGTGAAGGGGGGAGCAAAGGAGGTTGGGAGCTGCCCTACCTGCCTTGAGACCAAATTCACGAAGTTTCCCTTCAGCAGCAGCACAGGACCAGCCAAGGCACCACTTGCACTAGTGCACGTGGATGTGGTGGGCCCCACGAGGGCCCTTTCTCTCTCGGGCAGCCGCTACTTCTTGACGATTGTGGACGACCACACGCGTGCGGTGTGGGTGTACCCTCTCAAGACTAAGGGGGAGGTGGCAGCGGCTGTTCTTAAGGAGTGGATGCCAAGAGCACAAAGGGAAAGCGGACACAAGGTGAAGGTGATCCGCACTGACAACGGAGGAGAGTTCATCGGCGCTGATTTTGAGAAGGAGCTGAGGCGGAAGGGGATCCGAGCATCATCTCACAGTGCCTTACAACCCTCAGCAGAATGGCGTGGCTGAGCGGTTCAACCGGACCCTGCAGGAAGGTGCTCGCACTCTCCTTGGGCGTGCAGGGCTGCCGGATCCGTTTTGGGTGACAGCACTGCGGCAGGTCGTTGTTGTGAAGAACCGGGTGCTGGCGGCTGTGGGGGACAAGCAATGGGTCCCCTACACCAAGTGGTATGGGAGTGCGCCTGCAGTCAACATGCTGAGAACTTATGGCTGCATGGTGGTGGTTCATGTACCTAAGGAGAAGAGGGGAAAGTTGGAAGCTTCAGGGAGATGGGGTGTGCACTTGGGGCTTGCCAAGGACCAAAAGGGCTGGTTGATATGGGACTTGACGAGCCAGCAACTAACTATGTCAAGGGATGTTAAGTTCCTTGAGTCCTTGTTCTACAAAGAGTGGAAGCAGCAGCAGAAGAAGCTTCCTACAACACCACAGATCATTGAGGCCGATGAGGTGCAGCGGCCTTCGAGGCAGGTGGAGGTTTCTGTCTCCAAGGAGGAGATCTCTGGGGTGAATGATGATGGGGGAGAACCTGAGGTGGAGCAGCAGCAGCAGCAGGAGGAGGAGCAAGGTGCTCCACAAGGTGCCGGACTGTACGGCTGACCGTCCTAGGAGGGATGTGCGCCCTCCTAACAGGCTGACCTATGCAAGCCGTGGCAAGCCAAAGGTGGTAAGGGCTGGGAGTGTGGCTGAGCAGTGTGATGAGGATGAGATAGCACACTGCTACTGGGCAGCCGTCCATGAGCCCAAGACGCTAGCTGAGGCATTGAGCGGGCCCGATGCTGAAAAGTGGAAGCAGAGTGTCAAGGAGGAGTATGATTCTCTGCTAGAGAATGAGACGTGGGAGCTGTGTGAGCTGCCACCAAGGAAGAAGGCCATTTCTTCCAAGTTGATTTTCAGGCACAAGTACGGACCTGATGGGGCGCTGACCCGCTACAAGTCAAGGTTTGTGGCTAAAGGGTTTCAGCAGACAAAGGGAAAGGACTTCAACGAGCTCTATGCTCCTGTGGGGAAAGGCACAACACTTCGGGTGTCATTGGCAATGGCAGCAAACCGTGGATGGCGGGTGAAGCAGATGGACATCACCACCGCCTTCCTCAATGGGATCATTCTGGAGGAGCTGTACATGTTACAGCCTGAGGGCTTGGATGATGGGAGCGGCAGGGTGTGCAGGCTAAAGAAGGCCATCTATGGCCTGAAGCAGGCTCCTCGTGCATGGTACCACAAGTTAGAGAAGACTCTGCTGGTTGGGGGTTTCAAGAAGAGTGAGTGTGATCACAGCTTGTTCCTGCTGCAGGAGAAGGAGCAGTTTCTCATGCTCCTGGTGTATGTGGATGACATCCTGATCTTCTCTGAGTCGTCTGCAATGATTGAGCATGTGGAAGAGATGTTGGAGATGCACTTTAAGTGCTCCAAGATGGGAGATGTGAAGTACTATTTAGGGATGCATGTGGAGAGGGACCTTGACAAGGGAGTGTTGAGGTTGCACCAGAGAAAGTATTGTGAGGGGCTGGCTGAGAAGTATGGGCTGCAAGATGGAGGAAAGCCAGCCACCCAACTGCCTTCGGGGTTCACTTTGGAGCCCTGTGCTGATGAGGAGGTGGTGGGTGAGAGTGACTGGAAACTTTTTCATTCCATGGTTGGGGCACTCAACTATGCGGCTAACCACACGCGGCCTGACATTGCCTTTGCAACATCTAGGCTTGCCAGTGCGGTTTCACGCCCCAGTCATGAGCAGCTGGAAGCGGCCAAGAGGTTGGTCCGCTATGTGAGTGCAACGGCATCAGTGGGTTTGGAGTACAGTGCTGTGAGGCAGAGGCTGCAGAGGGGTGCAGCTGATTTGAGCAAGGGGGAGATGCTCCTGACCTGCTACACTGACGCTAGCTTCAACTCGGTGAAAGCGGATGGCACCAGCATTGGAGGCTATGTGTGCCTGTTCGGAGGTGGTGCAGTGAGCTGGCGCAGCAAGAAGCAGAATGAAGTGGGGCAGTCCTCGTGTGAGACAGAGTACATGGCTCTGCATCATGGGGCAAAGGAGGTGGTGTGGCTAAGGCGTTTGTTGGAGGAGATTGGAGTTGGTCAGACGGAGCCGACAGTGATTTTTTGTGACAATGAGTCGGCGGTGAAGCTAGCGAAGAATGCTTGTCTTCATGGGCTGACCAAACACATCAGGCCTAAGTGGCACTGGGTGAGAAGGCTCCTGGACAAGGAGGTGCGGCTGGAGATTGTGAAGACCCATCAACAAGCGGCTGACATTCTCACCAAGCGCATGGCTGAATCTTAGCATTGGAAGGGCATGAAGCTTGGTGGGATGAGTGTGCATTGAGGATGCATGCTTGAGCTATGGCATGTGGGATGATGGTTGGCAGCCAGTGGGGGAGTTTGTTGAGTGATGCTACCATTCGCATTCACGTCTGCCTGCCTCCCATCATATGTTCGTGCGTTGCATGCGTGTTGTGAGTGTGTGCAAGAATTTGTGTTTTGTGCGGCTTGGTTTTTCTGAGTATGTGTGTGAATGTTATTTGGATGGAGCAGATATCTGAAGTGACTCCTCTGCTCAAGAGCTTTCCGACGAACCAAGTATCGCTTCAATCGGAGCACGAACAAGAAATTTACAAACGTTGGAGTTCGTATGCTTTTGATATTTGGTTGTGGTGACTATGGGAAGTTGTGGGGTTGACTCAATATGGGGTACAGAATTTTGGGTGTTGGGAAATTCGTCTTTTCTACTGTAGTTGCTGCCAAATGGTTGGGAGAAACCAAACCAGGCTGGCAAGTGTGGCCAAGTTGGGTTGAGGTGGATTGTGGAGGTTGGGATAGTGACAAAGGTCAAAGTTGGGTTGCCTATGGGGAAGGGAATTGTATGGCATGGGGATTTCCTTGGTTGGGGACTCTCTTGGGACCTTCCCTCTCGTCCTCCTCATCCCTTCCACCTGGTTTAGTGCTACTCCAATTCTCTTGTGTGAACTTTGTGATTGAGTTAAGATTCTATGGCAGCATACCCCCTAGTGCGCTGAAATCGATAACTCAAGACACACTGCACATTTCCGTACGATTCAACTTGGGAATTGTAGCCACGGAGTAGAGCTACAAAATATCTGAGTTTGGTGAAGTTCTAACCATGGAATTTCCATCGACGGCGTTTCTTGTGAACTCGACTTTTCTGTTCAGAAACTAGGCTCAACGATGTTGAGATATTTTGGCTCCTAATCTTCATAGACTCCGTCCTTAGTCTCTAACAACCCCGTCGTCTTAGCAGCTTCGTGAGTGGTACTCTCAGCATGGGGGGTCTGGGGGTGGAGGTACCTGCACATATGTCATCCGCACAGGTGACCGCGCTGGTCATACATGTGGGAGGTTCCACACGCCGCAGCGGTGCTTCTCCCGGCTCGACGACGCCTGGCGTGCACAGTTCCCTGAGGCCTCTAAGCTGCCCCGCTCGGCTGATCTGCTTAAAAAGAACATTGATGTCTTTGCACTTGACTTTGATGTTATCCTTGGAGCCATGTATGCATTGACTATTAGTGATGAGGGTGACTGTTCCTTGTGTGTGCCACCAGACCCAGGCATTGCGACCAGTGAGGCTACCGCTCTAGGTACTAGTGCGTCTGCTACCCTAGGTCCTGGTGAGGCTGCTGCTTTAGGTGCAGGTGTGTCTGCTGCTTCAGGTGCTTGTGAATCTGCGCCTTCAGGTACTGCGTCTACTGAGGCACTGCACACCTTCACAGTGCTTCCCACTGTTTCTTTCGCGATCGCACTGCCCTAGAGCAGCTCCCTAGACCGGTTGCTATCGCCCTGGCTGATCCCTTCGGGGGTCCGGTCTGTCAGAACATTATAGCTTATGCTGTTGTGTAGGCTATAGTGTGGTATCCCATAGGGGGTACAACCCAATTAGGGTTTCATATTTGTACCCACTTCATTCATAGTTCATTCATTCTCGTTCTAACTTTCTCATGGTATCGAGCAGGTTCCCCCGTGGGAACTGTGCTTAGGGCCCACCACATCGAACCTTTTTTTTTCTGCCCGGAGCGCGCTCCGGGCCCTTTCTCTTACCTTTTCGATCTGCCCTAACGGCCCCTAGACGCCCGCGTGCCGCCCTTAGACGCCCACGCGCCGCCTGTCCTGGCCCCTTGACGCCCGCGCGCCGCCCTAGACGCTCGCGCGCCGCCCGTCCCAGCCCCTAGACACCCGCGCGCCGCCCGTCCAGGCCCCACGCCGCCCGCGCGCTGCCCTTCGAGCCCGCGCGCCGCCCGTCCAGGCCCCACGCCGCCCGCGCGCTGCTCTTCTAGCCCGCGAGCCGCCCGTCTAGGCCCCGACGCTGCCCGCGCGCTCCCCTTAGTGCTCGCGAGCTGCCCGTCTCGGCCCCCCCCCCTAGCCGCCCGCGCGCTGTCCGCCAGGCCCCTCGCCGCCGTGCGCCGCCCGATCTGGCCCCACGCCACCCGTGCGCCACCCGTCCCGGCCGCGCACACCCCTCCCGGCCCTTCGTCGCCCGTGCGCAGCCCGTCCCAGCCCCGCTCCCAGCCGCCCGTGCGCTACCCGTCCCGGCCGCCCGTGCGCTGCCCGTCCCGGCCGTCCCGGCCCCGCTCCCAGCCGCCCGTGCGTCACTCGTCCCGGCCCCGCTCCCAGCCGCCCGCGCGCTACCCGTCCCGGCCCAGCCCCCGGCCACCCGTGCACTGCCCGTCCCTGCCGTGAGCCGCCGGCCCGAGCCGCCTACGCAGCTGTGGAGCCGAGCCGCAGGAGCCGCCTGTGCCGCTGACAGCCCGAGCCGCCCGAGCCGCCCGAACCTGCCCGAGCCGCCCGAGCCGCCCCAGCCGCCCGAGCCGCCCCAGCCGCCCGAGCCGCCCGAGCCGCCCGAGGAGCCGAGCCGCTGGTGCGGAGGTGCTGCTGTTGCTGCTGGGCCGGCCGAGCTGCCGTGTTTGCTGAGCTGCTGTTCTCCCCGACCCGTCCTGTCTGGTGAGATTGCCGGCTGCAGTCATGGCTACCCCTAGTGTCCTAGCTTTTGACGCTGAGGGTCGTGCCTATCGACTTTGAGGTCTGGCTCGACGACATGCAGCTGTTCTTACAGTGCGATAGGGCAGACGGTCTTTCTCTCTTTGACCTCACCTCTGGCGCCGTCCCTGCCCCTACTGCTGATGCTGACGCCACTGTTCGCTCACAGTGGGCGACGCGCGATGCTGCTGCACGTCTTGCTGTGCGTCGCCACCTGCCTACCGCTGAGCGCGCGCACTTTAGCCAGTACAAGAGTGCCCAGACCCTGTACGACGCTTTAGTTGCGCGCTACTCCTCCCCTGCCACTGCTGCACTGAGTCGCCTCATGCTCCCCTTCCTCTTCCCTGACCTTGCCGCCTTTCCCACTGTCGCTGATCTCATTACGCACCTCCGCACTAGTGACACCTGCTACCGCGCTGCGCTTCTTGCTGACTTCTGCGCCAAGAACCCCCCCCCCCATGTACATCACTCTCTACTTCTTAGTCACTCGCCTCCCTGACTCCCTTCGTGTAGTCCGGGACCACTTCCTCGCGGTCTGTCCCACCACCCTCACAGTCGACAGCCTCGAGAAGGCCCTCCTAGCGGCGGAGAAGAGCATAGTCGCTGTAGGAGCC